GACACTGGAAATATCTATCTTATATCCATGTTGATAATGTTTATAGGTTTGAAATATGAGAGATTAAAAGTTAGTTGCACTTTCTCTTTGAGGAAGCCTTGTTCATTTACATATGGTTTTGCTATGATAATCATTGCATCGCCACTGCATGAAGCTGAAGTGAACGACTTTGACGTATTTTTCAATATAAAAATAGTAGTCCAACTGATTTTCATTTAACATGCTTTTTAAATACTGAAAGTCAAAACTGGTCTTTGTTGTAATGTGATAAGAGAGACCCATACTTTGTATACAACTATGTGTTTGCTGTCAGATTTTGATGATATTTATGTTAACCTTTGCTGCATTGATTTAGCGGCCAGCAAATGCATGTGTACTTTGATAATTGCTTCAATGTTTTTCTGGTAAACCCAATTTATATATCTGGACGACATATAGGTCCCATATGGCTGCTTGACCACAAACTCTTAAAATCCTGTACGGTTCTGTTTACATTAAGTGATTGTTTTCCTGCTTATGTCTATTCCTCCTGCTTATAGATTTGCCTGTCCTCTATTTGCAGCTTGGTTAGCATATGTTGCTGTATCTTAGCAATATGAATGATGGAATGAGAAAATATGATTGTTTTCAAGAACTGGATGCTTTTAGTGCTATCTATTGAGATTCTCTCTTTTTTTTCTAATTTTTGATCCCTCCTTTCTTTATCCAACTTAAAGCATTTGAAATGTATTTAGTTGGTGGCATGTATAATTTGGTTAATTCCAATGAAAGACAGCTCATCTGAATGTTCTCTTTCTGCATGTAATGTACACGATTGCATTTTCTAAAGCATTTTTCAATGGAATGGACCAATTCCAATTTGACTTACTGAGATTCTTTGTTTATTTTGTGTTGCTGTTCTGTGTTGCTTTTTTAGGTCCATAAGCTTTTTACGACTCTTTTTTTCCTCGGAAAATTCTCTATCAACTTTGGGATTCGCCTCTTAATGATGTAAGTATTGGAACTTCTATTCAGTAGATCACATAAGCTAATTAGTTATTTCTAAACATCCAAACTGCTAGTTGAGGTTGCACCAGAAGGTTATTTATTTTCTTAATTACACACCTCTAGATTTTGTCAAATCTCAAGGTTCTCCACTGAGTTTTTTCTGATTTTATACTATCCTCCTCTAAAAAATTTTCCTGTCGATTTGTGAAATATTAGGTCACAATGACCTTCCTTCTTCAAAGTTTATGAGATGTGATTAAAAAATCTCGGGGTAGGTTACTGCTTACTAGAGTTTTTAAAATTTATGCGAGAGCTACATAACTATGACAAAAATGAGTAGGAGGTTATGTTTTACCCTTGAGCAGTTAACTGCTCGTATGATTTTTGAGATTTAATGGATTAATTTTCTGCTGTTTCTTTTTGAAATTATAGAGCTAGATATGGTGTACAACTGGAGAGCGGACCTTTTCAGGGTCGTACAGCTGATTTCTTGTGGATGATGATATTTGGAGCATTTTCCCTATTGGTATGTGAGACTTAGTTCCATCTTTTACCCTCTCTTTCTCTCTCTCTCAGACTCAGCCACACAAACATATACGACGTACTTGCCCTCAAGAGATTAATATCAGTTGCCTTACTGGGACACTTGATTGGCTGGTTCATACTAGCATATCTGTTTAGGGAAGCATATTTTCTTCCTTTTTACTTTTCGTTGCTCCTATCTGCTTCGCTACCTGCTGGACTCTAGATTTGCATCTTTTTATGTTTGGAGCAGAGAAGTCTGATAATTCATCTTTTTCAGATATCTATTGTTGAATATTGATGTGAATTGAGAATGATCTCATTTAACACTGTTGGATTTGTGTGTGCACTAGGTTTTAGCTGCCATTCCTCCTCTCCAGTCTCCTTTCCTGGGGATATCTTTGGTCTTCATGCTTCTCTATGTGTGGAGTAGGGAGTTTCCCAATGCCAGTATCAGCATATATGGCCTTGTCAATCTTAAGGTGTGTTGCTTTCTTTCTCTCTCTCTTTTCTTCTTCTCTTTGTTAGGTTCTACCTGAAACCGTTGCTCTTTTTGGATTTTTAATACGTTTGTCAGTTTTTACTGATGCATGGCATTGTCTTTCATTTACAGGCATTTTATTTGCCATGGGCCATGCTATGTCTGGATGTTATATTCGGTTCACCAATCATACCAGATCTTTTAGGCATTGTAGCTGGACATCTGTTTTACTTCTTGACAGTGTTGCATCCGCTTGCCACTGGGAGAAACATATTGAAGACACCACAGTGGGTGTATCCTTTTGTTTGTTCTGTGGAGCAGCTAGATATAGCTGTTTTTATATATGTATATATATACCTCTCTCTCTCTTTCTCTCTCTGCATGCAGGCATGTCCATGCACATTCTCTCACACCGTTGCCCCTTGAAATGGTTGAATCCTCCTCAGTAATAGGCTGCTTAATAAGTCTCTGCACATTCCCTCTGTTTCTTTCTTTGCAGTTGTCCTTTAACTGTTCCACAGACAAAAACTGGTGCAGCGCACTAGATATTTCAATCCAGTGCAAAATTCTGCTCGGGCTGACAGGACAGATCCAGTTTTCAGGGGTAGATCTTATCGTCTTGGTGGTTGACATGGATTTCTTCTCACATATATAGAAATTGCAAAATTTTGTAAACATCAGCACTCGACATAGTGAAATGTGGATAATGCTGGTGTGAAGAGTAATCCAAGTTGCTTAAACTGGCTCTACTAACTTCAAACAGAATAGGAGTGCCTCAATGACTGAGGCAGCAATTTTTTGCTTTTGGGATCTTCATCGATATAGGATACTTATAGGTTCTTGGAGGAAGTAATCATTGGAAAACTTGCATCTCAAAAAAGGTGATTGATGAGCATGGGAATGGTTTATTTTATTTGACATTTTACTCTTTTTTTTTTTTTAATTTTTTTTAGTGTTGGTTGAAGGATGGATAAAGGGCATGAGCTGCTGGGTGGGGGAATGGGGGAGAGTGGTTGATTTATTCGCTTCTGCAAACCTAAGCCTGAAAGTTTGAGAGTTATTATAATCGCTCATCTACGGGCAAGCAATCAAATCTTAAGCTCATCATAGAGCTGAAGCATTGGTTTTGAAGTGATGGAATCTGAAGTCTCCAAGATATGTTGCCATTTATCTGCGTGTATGTGGATTCTTTCTGTGATGTTGTTATTGGGCTTGCAAATGTTGGAATTTTTCTCTGTTAGAGATAAATTTTGAATGTGTTGCCATTGAATTTAGTTCTCTTATCTAGGAGGATTACCTCCGCAGGCTGTTTTGCATCTTCAGTTGACTCTCATTGGTACACGGACGTTGACGGCAATGTGATTAATTTGCAAATCTGTCCATAGAACTTGAGCAGGTTTCTATCTCCATGATATTGTAATGTGATACTTCTCCATGACAGGAAGTTTGCGAACCCATCCATAGAACTCGAGAAGATTTCTGTCTCCATGACAGCAACCTTCTTTTCTCGCATGTAATAACTTCCATTGCAGCCTGCAAGTGTTTTTGCATACTCGTGGGATTATTTGAGTCCGAGTTAGATTACATTGACAGGGATGGTAGGCGTGCACGATCCACGAGTTATCTTTGAGAGATATTCTAGCACGGATGATCTCGTACCTAAATTGACTAGCGATGCAAGGGAAGTAATGAAAAAAAAGCCTGCTATGAACTCTGCATGGAGTGCATGGCAACGGCTTCATGGGGTTTGGAAGTTCTGCGTATATTCCTCATAGCGTACACGTTCGTGAAGATTTACCAGTTAATCTGGTAGATGAGGATTTCTGCTCTTCAGTGTATTCTGCGTCAAAGACAAACCATTTGTGTCATTACTTGGGACGAAGGGAAATATGAAATTACCATATTATTTTGGGGAACTTCTTGTATGAAGAGAAGCATTTCTCTAGTTCAATGAAAGGAGCGGTCCGAGCGGAGCTGGTCCTCATAGCTAATGAAAGGAGTGGATGTCGGTCCTCAAAGTCAATGCCCACGATTCTCTCGTTGCTTTTCTTTCTTTTTTTTTTTTGATGGCAATTTAGCAAATTAAATAGTTGAAGTACATACGACATATTCAGTATTCCTTTGATAAAATTGAAATTTGAAATCTGAATCTATTAAATTATTGAATTATTAAATATTAAATCTAATACATTTGAGGGTATATCACATTCAGTGATAAGTGAATAGTTTATCACTTAATTTTAGAAACAAGTTTTGCCTAAAAAAATTCAGTGCCATTTAATTAATTCAAATGTTTAATTTTTTATTATCAAACGGTCTGAACATGTTAAGATCTGAATCCATTAAGTTTAAGTGTTGAATTGGGTTATCAAATAGGGTATCAGATAGTTAAAGGAAAACAGAACGACAGATATGGTTCTATGGGTACACATTAGCTATAGAAAACATAAAATAAATATGTTGGTGTGAGAGAGTAATTGAAGAAGACGTTGTCCTCGAACTATGGCACAGGGATGGTAGTACGCTGCTAGAATCACAAAGGTGCAGGTGTGATAGTTATGTGGATGTAATTAGGTCGTAGCCATTCATTAAGCAACAAGTAAAATGAGGAGGAGAAATTGTATGTCGGGCTTGTGGGTGTGTCCGATTACTCGCAGCGCTACTAATTGGGCATTTCCATATCTACTAAAAAATGAACAAAAATCTCAAGATAAAATTTTCGTTCAAGACGGATCAATGAAAACTCCAAATTTTGTATTATAGTATTATCTTCAACCGGTCTAAAATATCAAAAGGTCGCTTATACCAGTCTTGTTAGCCCAATTAGTAATAACATGATATGTTTAATCCCTCAAAGCCACGCACGAGCTTTGGACAGGTTTGAGTTTCGATTTTCATTTTTTTTTTTTGAAATAAAGAAAAATGAAAAGCCAAATAAAAGCAGAGAGCAAAACTACTCTTGCTAGGGAGGAGGATTATGGTTATGGCCTTATGGGGGAAGGCTGATGGAAAAGGGCAAATGGACAGTGAGGTGGCCGCCAAATGGTAGTTGATTAGTTTCCTTAAATAAAGGCGGAAACTGAACGGTGATAATAAATCCACAGCTCACTGGCTCCGAGACGATCATGCACGTCCTCATTATTCCTTCCTTCCCTAATATTTTCCCTTCTTCTTAATACGCCTACTTAATCACTCACATCACTCTGCTTTTGCATTCCAACCTCCCCAAAATTAAAGGAAAAAAAAGGGTTATCTGTTCAAGCTCCACGGGATCATTACCATAACCGGAGTGCTTTGAAACTGCCTGCTACATCCAAATTTCGTTGTTCTTGAAAGAAGTTGTCGTTCTTCAAAGCCCAGAAAAAAAGAAAAAATGTCGTGGCAAACTTACGTGGATGATCATTTGATGTGTGACATTGAGGGCACAGGCCATCACCTCACTGCTGCTGCCATTCTCGGCCACGACGGCGCCGTTTGGGCCCAGAGCTCCAACTTCCCTCAGGTCACATTTCATCTATACGATCCCTTTAAATGTGGACTCATTATTTTTTTTTTTTTCCTTTTTATCACCAAAAAATTGGGAGCAATATTTACTTAATTACGTACAGGATGATGTGCACTGATATCCTACATGTAGGACTCACTTTTTTGTTTTTCAGTGTGATTTTGATTCTCTGATTGTGCTGTGCCTTCCTTGAATTTCCGCGATTGGAACCTGATGCAAGATGGACTACTTGGTCCTGCATTGAAATTTTGTTGTATTGCTGCCTATGAATCATGCTAAATCTCATATTACTGTACCTAACAATTAGGAGAGATCGAAGGTTGATATGTTCCGACTTTTTCTTTTGTTTCTAAGGATACCCCATTCATTAAACCATACATATGGATATGGTACATATTTTTTTTAGAGCTAAGTGTTGCATTGTTCACCAGACAAGGAAAAGAAAGAGAAGAAAAGGCATTGTTCATGCAGACCATATCTTATAATAGAACCATTAATAACATAAAAGTGTATATTGTTCATAGTAATTGTCACTTACAATCATAATTGGTTTTTTTTTTTTTTTTTTTTTTAAATCATCTTCGTTGTCGAATAGTAACGGGAGTGCTATCATTTGCACATGTACTTTGGAGTTCTTTTATTGACTTTTCCCAATTTTTGGAGCAAATCATTCAACTGAAATTTATTCGCCTTTTAGTTTTTGTCTACTGAATCTTTCTTATTTTCGGTTTGAAGAGTTATAGCAGTTTTCCATACGAACATGATTTCCTCCTCTATGCAAAATTGTTGATCTGGAATTGTAGACTTTCCAAGCCAATGACCGGCGTTGTGCCTTTTGTACTGTTAGTATGGTGCCTGTTTTAAGCTATCAAGTTCTGAAGTGTCTCCACCATTGGTTCATGAACTCTGTTTCTTTACAGATTAAGCCTGATGAGATCAAGGGTATCATGACTGATTTCGATGAGCCAGGACATCTTGCCCCTACAGGTTTACACCTCGGAGGAACGAAATACATGGTCATCCAAGGCGAGCCTGGTGCTGTTATTCGTGGAAAGAAGGTCATAATAATGATTTTATGCTGCTGCATTTTACTCCGTCTATCCAGTATTGTTTTCTGCCTAGATGAATTGCATCCTTTCTGATAAAGCTACTAAATGATTTTCACCAAGTGGTCGATGTGTTTTCTCTGATATTACTGTCAAAAAAAGTGGGTGGTTCATTTCCTCCCGTCTGTGGCTTTACTTGAAACGCAATATGTTCCATATTATACATGTGTTCTTATAAAGTTACTTGATTGGTTTGGACAGGGGCCAGGAGGTGTTACTATCAAGAAAACTGGCCAAGCTCTGGTCTTTGGGATCTATGAGGAGCCGGTGACCCCTGGACAATGCAACCTGGTTGTTGAGAGGTTGGGAGATTATCTCGCTGAGCAGGGCCTGTAGGCTGGCTCATTCTGGATGATTCTTGCCTCTTCTGCTTCTCTAAGATCGAGTCGTCATTTGAAACATAAACATTGCGTGGAGTTTGCGCAGACAATAACCATGCGAGGGCATCTAAGTGTTTGTTGTAGGTTTTTCTAGTTATATTGTTTTTTTTTTTTTGTAATTGATAATCACAGATATGGGTGTTAATGTCTATCTGGATTAATTTTGGAAGTCAGAAACCTGTTGTTTCAATAATTCTGTTTTGATTTATCACGGGGCAAAATGCCACGGAGTGTGAAATTTATTCCACTTTCAGGTACGATTGATTTATTTATCTATCGGTAGCATTCAACATTTTGTGCTGGAAAGTTGAGATTCTACATTTTCTTCACTTCTCCTGTCAACTCTTTATATAAACAAGAAATTGAAATAGATCGTAGTTCTTCCCTGCCTGGAAATTGATGCGGAACTTTTACTTCACAGACACACATATAAATCTCGGGTCTGGAAAAATTGGTTTGCGCCTGCCCTGCAGTTTTATGCTACTACAGAAAACTGAAAAAAAGAAAAAAGTCCATTTCAGACCAGAATTAAATTTCTTGCTTTTGTTCAAATTTGTTGCTCATCCAGCCGAGTTCTGTACTGACGGAGGTATCTCCAAAACTATTCTATGTTAGAATTAAATGCGTTTTTTTTTTTAAGGAGATTGTTGTAGTTTGTATCATGTTTTGTTAATTCCAGTCCAACTTCTTCTTCTTCTAAATCCCAACCCGAGAAGACAAGGAGATGTCAGAACGGACCATAACCATAGTAAGTAGAAACAACAAGGGAATAGAGCTGCCACTTCTTACAAGTTGATACTTGACTTGCAGAAGATTAGAATATTGCTTCAACAAAAACTCAGGCTCATGTGATTCAGGACTTCAAATTTATCAGCTTCTCTCGAGATTTCGTTCTTCTTTCTCAGACCAATGGATACTGATTTGTAGCAAGTTGCGTGATGTCTCTTGCTATGTGGATATTCTCAAGTGTTCTTTGGATCGATGGTATTTTTCAACTCATCATTGAACTGCTGGATTGGAAATCAAAACATTCTCTGACACTTAAGTCCAGATAGGGCCCGACACTGACACTTCGCAAGCAAACCCGTAAATGAATGCTGTACGTCGAAACTTCTGGTTTTCCAGCAAATCCCACAAGAAAACAAATACAAAGAAATTACATGACAACTAATTGGGGGGGGGGGGGTGCGAGGCCATGGCCAATTAATGTCCAAATTATGCCAAACTTAAGTTAGTTACCGTTTGCTCTGACGAGCAACAAGTGCCCGAAGGCAATAACATCACAGGGGGACAAAATGAAAAAGAAAGGGCTCATGGGGTTAAAGCTGTAATCCTCAACCTCCCAAATCTCCTTGATTAGATAAGAGTCTATCAATAAATCTTTTCTTTTAGTTAGAGATTAGACGCTGTTGGCTTTGTTAGTTAGCATCAATCAACAATAAACATCATATGTTTCTCCTAATAAATTAAATCATCATTCCATAGCGTGCTCCTCTTTCCACACCACCCTTTTAACAACAATCATGCAATTCGCTTAACTGCTGCCATGAATATGGCCATGAACATGAGACTCTGCTCCAATCGCTAAATGCATCAGAGTCAGTGCAAATGAATGGTCATCATTAGTGTTGTTATGATATTAGTTCAACAGAGTGATCCAAGGCAGGAAATTAATATCCATCTGATGAGATGCAAACTGATCAACTACCCTGATGATCTGTTCGACAGTAATAGTCTAATTTGTTACCAAACTCCAGATACGATATATATATATATATATGCTGTGCTGTTCTCATCATTCTGGCATTGCCTCCCTGGATTCACGTAGGAATATGAAGACCCCAAGTTTGGTGGAAAAGTGCGTCACCATACCCCTTTGTAGCCCCCAAGACAGCCAACAACCCTCTCCTATCCTATGAGCTATATAACAACCCCAGCCCTTCAATTATTACGGGCCCTATCATATTATTACTATTTCTCTGCAGATAAAATTGATGGGGAGAAAGAAAAGCATGCATATGTATTGTTCAAGACCGTTTATGTTGTTTGTGCATTGTCAAGGCATACTTTTGTCAGATTGGTAACAAACAAACATACTCCTGCTTATGATCTCCTGTCCTGGGATAAAATATAACGGTAAAGGACATAGTGTTGCAGCAATCTGATTTTGACAATATACGTTGGACTGGAAAGCACAAACATCTAATGTGGGATGTAGGATTTATGCTGAAGAAACTCCAAGGTGGTGTCCTAATAAATTATGTGATCCTGATATCATTATGACAACCTGTCAGGAGTATTTCTTGGGGGGTCTGTACATTCATTCTCCTACTCCTCTGCAAATTAATTAAATTGGTCTCGCGCGGTAGAGTTTGTTTAAAGGACAAGCTGTGCTATCAAGTGCTTAATTGAAATTTCGTGAGGCTACTACTATTTCAATGTGCTTGATAATTATTGGTTGTCAAAATTTGTTTAGTTTCTTCTGCCGAGTCATCATTGATTGTTCGCTTGGAAACACTAAGGTCTTGTTTGGATTGCAATTTTTTAAAGTTTTTATAGAAAATGTACTATAGTGATTTGATATATGTGAAGTAAAATGATGATTGAAAAGCATGTTCACGGAAAACGTAAAATTTTTTGATTAAAACTGGCTTTCCAAACAAGGCCTAAATTAATCACACAAAAAGTTTTCGAGTTATTGAAAATACTTCTTTTTGGCAATTTTCCAAGCTTCCTAATCGCAAGGATTAATAATGCTTAACTCACACACAAAGACGTGACCATAGGCCAAGAACTGCTCATCTTTTTAAGTAAATTAAGCAAATATTTGCAAGGGGTTTTTTTCTTTTTCTTCAGGAAACATATTGTATAGAGGTTTCAGCATATGTAATATGGCATCTCAGGTAATGATGCCTAGATTCTAAATGGTACTCTTAAATATGTTATTTACTTGACAAGACTGATATAAAGAAAAGAATGCCAAGAAATGACACATATAGCAAATAGTAAATGCACGGGTATATATGTGAATACTATGATAGGTAACGTATCAATGCAACAACCATAATGTTGTGATTGCGATAGCAAAGCGAAGTGGTCTCCTGCGACCCTTGCTCTGCGGGGCACCACAGTCCCAAAAAGCTGATTTTTCATCCAAGACTTCGCCAAGAAATAGAAGAGGCCCTCCTGACTGCTAGCGCTTTTAGTCTGTCAGGGGAAACGGGGCTGGGGTCCTAACACTTTAGGGACAACAAAGAGGAAAAACATTGGTCCTAAATGACCCAGAGCTTGGATTACTCGTTCATGTCAACTTCAAAAGTTACTTGATCAGTATCGAAAAGGACAAGGATAGGAAGAAAATGAAAAAGTTGATGATACAATAAAGAAGTTCTTTTTTGCACTTTATGCTTTAGTAGTATGTTCTAATCAAATGGGGTACAAAAGTTTCTTGAGATTTTCTCTTGTTCTTATTCTAGTGTCATTGATGCATTAAATAAAAAAAGAAAGAATCGCACCATCCATGTCATGGTTAGACAGATGCCAATTTGTTACAGATGAAAATGGCTGATGCTTCAACAGTAGCTTATGTTATAATCTTTTTTTTTTTATTTTTATCGCAACGATAATATTCGTACAATCTACTCTAGTTTAATTTAAAAAAATTAGGGAGCCGACGAGCAATCCCATCAGAAAAAGCCACTTGAAAATGATAACTACAATTAAATAACAAGATAGGTAGAAGGCAAAAATTAAACCCTTAACCTCCCACCCCGTCAAAACTTATGTTATAATCAGATGAGTGTAAAAATTTCTCGACGCTGTTTGCATCTGGTTGGACATAATAAAGTTGAAAGCAACGTTCGTCTAGAACAATCTTTTAGGCAAGAGTTTAGCCAAAAATCACTCCCTCTGATAAAACAGTGATATAACATGATACTGTGATAACACATTTGTTGTTAGAATTCAGGAAATATCGGCTGTCCACTGCACACATAATTTATACTGTAACATTAAGATAAATAATGTATTTATTAATCATGTTTACGTTTGGGGACAAGAAGCTTTTTTTTGTCGCGATAACACACTCCATTCGGCTTGGGCCATAACTTTGACGAGGCCCAACAAAGATTACTGAAATGCCGGGGGACCATTATTCCACCAGCATACCACATGATTAATTAGTCCTGGTTTCAAAACTTAAAAGGTATTTATTTTTGTCATTTTATTATAGGGATAATTCTAGAAACTTCACTTAAGGTTTATACCTTAATATCAGCTAGCACACTCAATTTTTAGAGATCTCACTTACCTCCCATAGCAGAATGATATGACCACGTATCTCAATCAGAGGCCTTGTTTGAATTGCATTTTCTTGGATTTTTTGTAGAAAATTACTGTAACGATTTGTTGTATAGGAAAATGTGGTCACGGAAAATGACGCAATTTTCCGGCAGAAAATGGCTGTCCAAACAGGGCCTAAAATATCTTTTAAAAAATGGCATCTAAAATGGCCCAAATTGGGCGTATCTTCAAAACACAAAAATGCATCCACAATATCGATCCTTTATGCTAAATGACATTAGAGAGTTAATATCAATCCTCCAATGAAAGAGTTTTTCATATTGCTAACCTAACCGATCTCTTAAGAATTCTCTCTTTTTATTTTTTTTATTTTATAAGTGAGAAGATTTGAATCCAAAATCTCTTATTTATAATACCTCTCACTTACCACTTAACCCAACCGTCTTCTCCTTGAGATTTGCTCTTGTTTTTTCTCTTTGCTACAAAATTTTTTGTACTAATTTTCAAGCCCTTTTATAGTATTCAAGCAGTCACCATTCTGAGCATCGGTCTCCTAATTGCTAAGTTATGTTGCAACAGTACCTATTGCACTTACATCCCCTCAACTTAAAAGTCGTTTAATATTCCTGTATTATTTGCCTTTTTCTTTTCATGTTCTCAAATTCATAAATCATATTGCAAAACGGCCAAAAGATTAAAAGTGGAAGGATAATCTAATCTCTCTCCTCCAATGTATTTTTTAATACTACTTTTCATACATAAGGGATTATGTATAAAATTGGGGGCTGCTAAGTGATCTTAAGGTAAATTTGAGGGGAAGTTTCCCAAATTATCCCTTTATTAAATTGTTATCAGAAACTTCAAGATTTATAAACCTTCAGAGTTGAATGAATTTTAAGGCCGTCCACACCTTGGGGAGATGCGACAAGAGTTTTACTTCTTTAATTTGAAGCAA